TCTAGTTGAGTACCGAACCGACTACAGATTTCTAGAAAGAACCGTTACATTATATAAGCCCGGCTTCCCGACCCAAGAGGGCAGTTCAGAAAGTGAATCGAGCGGCTAAACAAGAAATTCAAATAGTGGAAATACATTAGGCGTTAGTTGCTAAGTGTTGTAAATAAATTAATTTGATTAGTGAAATATCGTCGGAAATAAATTTGTTAAAAACAGTTAATTATTTCATTTGTGTCAACATGATCTTTTTTTCCTCAAGATTATTTTCTTGATACAGTTCTGTATTATGTTCAGTTTTTGCAAGGAACTTTTATACATTGCTCCCCGCACATTGACATTGATAATAATCTTTTAAACTGTCAAAGTATATTTTATGTTATAGTTTAGAATGGGTTTTTTAACTACCACAAACATGTATATTTCTTGGGATAATGAATCTTTATAGTTGAAATATTTTGTGGAGAATAAGATAAAATGTAAACAACCTTTTTCTGTTCCTTCTGTATACTTTACGGTTGATTCCCAGTGATGCTGTGTTTTGTATTTGTTACGTTTTGACACGTTGTAAAAGAAGGTGCAACTTACCAGGTTTTTCTCTTTATATCAGATTCATTCTCGGAAACCAGTTCTGGATGGACTAGTTGCTGCGAATCCAGCAGCAGTAAAGGAGAAGAACCACTGTCGTGGAGAAGAGAGTCGAGAAATGGGAGGATTTACACAAAGGAATGGAGGAAGCGTCCGACAAATAAAGATAGTTTCAATATAAATTCCGACAGAGACTTCCCGGCTTTGTGAATATTCAAGAAATCCATTTGACTCTAGTGAATGTTCCAGTTGAGTGATATTTTTTTACACATGCTAACATTTTTCTGAACCAGAATTCAGAAGATACTTTCCCGAAGACAGTTGTCCAATTACATCAGTTTTTTTTTGCCACATTTGTACATACATTTATAGCAAATTCATTTTCTCCTAAAAAACTCAGTTGGACATTTGAAAGTACAACAGTTGTACATGAAAATCCTTCAGGAAGGTTCTAGTCTCTGGTTCCAGAATTGTCCAAAATTTTTGGGCTTGTTTTGCCTATTTTACTATTTGGGGATTCTTGGAAATTATCCCGGTTTGGAGGTTGAGGCAAATCCTTCGTTGTTGAAAAAAAATACTATACATCTTTTTTTCAGTAACTAATTTGGGTTAATTTGCAGAAAACATTTTAGTATGACAAAACGAAGAAAAAGTCTTCGCGTTCAAAAATGTTTTATGTTTCAACTTGTATAGATTACAAGTGAGAGATACAACTGGAATCTTTGGCGTTGAATAAGCACTACTAACAAATTCTAGAACTGAAATTCTTTTCGATGTGTGTTTCTCAAATCAAGTGATGACGCCAGATTCAGAAAATGGACTATACTTTTTTTAAAGCAACGGTACACTAAATCCGACCTGAGAAATATATTTTGAGAAATATGTCATTCATGCATTGATTCACATAGCAAATTGTTTTTTTATGAAAAACTTTTTTAGATCTTCAAAGGTGCATGAAAACCCTCTAGGAAGGTCCTAGTTTCCAGAATTGTCTACCATTTGTGGGGTTCATAATAATAACAAAAAAAAAGAAGGAAACTATATGTTTCCTCCTTTTTTCTGGTTATTCTTGTATTCCAAACATTCAAAACATCAGTCAGATTGCAACTTAGTTACAGTAATACTAATAGCAATATTGAAAAAAGTTATTTTAGACCATGACCTCTTGAATTTTTGTAATTTTTGATTTGCTTATCACAACTTGCCGGAAGCTTTGAAAAACACACCTATTATACATGTTTTTGGTGATTTTTTTTCATGTTTCTACGAAATAAAAATTGATTCTTCGATTTGTAATGTAGTTTTGAGTAGCCAAGTGCTGAATAACTTTTGTTCTATTCTAATAGTAGTACCTACAAAGAATATTGAAAATCCAAAGCTTCAGAATTTTCCTGCAATTAGTTTTCGAGTTATCAGAGGTCAAAAATGTGAAATCAGAGTTTTAACTTCGCTTTTGTTCTTTTAAAATATATTAATCTCGGACACCAATTCACTGACTCTCAGTTTTATACTACATTACAGTATTGAACCGAAATTGGTTTTTCTCATGGGACAACAGTGGGATCCCACCTAAAAATTTGTGTAGTGTTAAGAACTGGGAATTTTATCAATTTTAATCTAGAAGTGGGTTACTAATAAACAAATAATCAAGTGATAAGCTTATTCGAGTTCAATAACCTTATTTGCTCACCTAAATTACACTGAATAACTCAGTAATTCATTCGCACCGTTTTGCTTACTTCATTGTCAATTTCCTCTCTCTAATAACTTAACTACAGAGTAAAATTTGTACTTATAATGGGACAAGGTGTCGGACGACCGACTGCCCTTGTACCTGATTGGTCCGAAACTTCTTCAGTTAGTGGGATAATCTTTGTACTATAAAGTGCCGGTATCCATTTCATGTTGTTGTTTAAGTTCTCTTTCAAAAGTATTCAGAGAAACCATAGAAATACATAAACATAAGAATAATTTCAACCGTAGGGAAGACAGCTCAAATATGGAAGAAGTAAACAAGAAACTAAATTATTCATTTAGTTTTTCCATGACCGGTTCGTTAATCTTCCCCAATTCGTCTGCAGTACCTGTTACTCGGGTGCCGATATTCTTCACATACATATATTAGGATATCTTAACTCAAAGAAGATCTATCTATTTATCTACCGATCTATACTTTTTGGAAATCAAAGGGGCCCTTTTTGATTGTAAAAAAAACTATTTTAGTTCAACCCTTACATACTGTATATCAAGTTGATGGTCTTTTAAAGCTGAAGAGAATGATATCTGTTTGAATGCTCTAGGTGAATTACTACCTGAGATAGCGGAGTCAAAATTATGATTTTTTTCACATTTTTCACCTTTGATAACTTGAAAACTAAACGCTCTAAGGACTCAAAATTTTTGATAATCAATATTCTTTGCAGCAAATCAAAAATTATATAGAAACAAGAGGTCTCCCCTATCTCACAATATGTCACACGACGATCTTGCATTATCAGTTCACGCATTGCATCGATGTTTTGTGGCACAACAACCGATTTTGGACGACCTTCACGGAATTTGACGTCGACAGAACTACGACCATGATTGAATTCACTATACCAGCGATATACTGTGATTTTTTATGGAGCTTTATCGCCATACAAAGAGCTGAGTTCATCGACACATTCTTGTTGAGATAATCCACGTCGAAAGTATTGGAGAATAATCCAACGAAAACTTCCCTTAAAATTTTCATTTTTTTGTCAAATTAATTTTCTTAACTCATTGTAAACAAAACAAATAGCCACTTGTACATCAAAACGGGTCTACCACATGATAACTCTTACTGATTTCCGAAATTTACAGTTACTCTCCTAAATTAAAGTTTCCAATTTCTGCTACGTTCATTGAATGTAGTAGAAATTTCAAGTAAACTTGAAGTAACCTCGAAATTAGACAAAAGTTATTTTCTTTATCCTATCTCCAATATGAATTTCTACAAAATGAATAGGTATGTCATCAATAGAACAAAATAAAGGAATAGTTCGATGTTCATGAAAGGGGGAAAGTTTACTGTTATGCGTTTCAAATCTGTTGATATAAGAGAACGTTTTCAGTTTACTAACAAGATAATTTGGTTGGAGTATTCAGGATCTCGTGTATATTTGTAGACTGTTCTGAGGGTATCTAGTCTTAGCCCATCAGAGAGCTTTAGACATTTAGAGACAATATAAAAGTCTCAATCATAAATCTTCCATACTCTGCATCAAAATGTGTTAAAAATCTGTTTTTCCATTAATCAGCTGCCGCTCCCATACGAACGACAACTCTCAGAAGTTGAGAAACTTGTGCGAGCTAAGGACTAACGGAAATATAAAACATGATAGCAACAAATTGAAAAAATGGTAACGTAGCACTAGATGATTAAAATGAAGAGTGGTATGTGGGTTTCCACGGCCGGTGTCTAACAAATTGTCAAATGTTTCCGGTTCCATTAACCGTAGTCTGCAGGTTTTCATACTTGACGTTTCGTCTGCTACTGCGGCAGACATCAAAGACGATGCGGCAATGGTCAAATTGATCTGCCTTGCTGTAATGCACGGTCCTGGTTGTGTTTGTACTTATAATGGGACAAGGTGTCGGACGACCGACTGCCCTTGTACCTGATTGGTCCGAAACTTCTTCAGTTAGTGGGATAATCTTTGTACTATGAAGTGCCGGTATCCATTTCATGTTGATGTTTGAGTTCTCTTTCAAAACTATTCAGAGAAACCATAGAAATACATAAACATAAGAATAATTTCAACGGTAGGGAAGACAGCTCAAATATGGAAGAAGTAAACGAGAAATTAAATTATTCATTTAGTTTTTCCATGACCGGTTCGTTAATCTTCCATAATTCGTCTGCAGTACCTTTTACTCGAGTGCCGATATTCTTCACATACATATATTAGGATATCTTAACTCAATAAAATTCTCTGAAATACAAACAGGTTTTTTACTCCCTGAGATTGTATTTATTATTATTATCATTTATATTCTGATATACCTATATTCCATTACCTATTTCCATAATATCGTAATTAAATATCTCAGTTTGTCCACAAAGATATCGAATTCAGACGAACTAGATTGTATGGGAAAGTATTTTAACTCTTGTTCCAGTAGTTCAAATGTACCTTTCCAACATTTGAATAAAATTTGTTTTTTTGGAAGTGAAATGAACAATTGGTTCTTTTACATTCATTTCAAACTGGCCTTTTTTTTATGGCTCAGTGATTAACATCCTCTAAAATACAAACAGGTTTTTTGCTCCCTGAGATTGTATTTATTATTCCATTCTGACTTATTTCTATGTCCTAACCAGCAGTGTATCGTCCTATGCTCTTAAATCCATTCATGGACCAATCTTTTAGTCGTCCCAATAGATATGCTTCCACAAGTGGCGAATCTGCAACGTACATCCTATACATTGAAGATCCTATATATCATTTATATTCTGCGGCTTCGACATAAACACAGTTTTCAAACTGAAGAGATTCATATATTTTATTAGATATCTGATTCCAATATTACCATTGTCTTAGTTCATTTTGATTTTTCTCATTTTTAAAGAATCCTTTCTTTTTACCTAATACTAGTGTTAGATATGTTCCCTTCCATAGACTTTGTAAGATTCTTGAGAAATTATGTAATTAGACCGTTGAGATATAAATATAATCTCGGGGAGAGGACAAAGCAAAAGTTAGTATTAGTACTCTTTGTAAAGCTAATTGTTATGCAATTTTATTACCATCAACTCATAGAAGCGGGGTTACATCCATACGAGTGTAATGAGTCGATTTTTTTATTACTGGCTCTGTCTTTAAATTTTTGCCTCACTTATTCTTGATCTTTCGAAGTATCTGCCAAACCTCCACGCCGAAACCAATTGATACATTGTTCAAAGTAGTCTTTTTCAATTATAATTTCCAATGAATTTGTTCTTGACTTCATTCATTCTTTGTATTTGAAATGATTACTTAGTTTATCTGATGTAGGGGGATTTGCCGATTGTTCATTATTTTCATTTCACATCAGAAATGTATACTTTCTACCGCAGTATAAAGTTCTCCATTACAGTTTTTAATTTTTCATATTGTAAATGGTAAAAATCCCCAGAAAAATCAAAAATTCAAGTTTTTACTTGTGAATTTGACTTGATCTTTCTTCTTCCTCAACTGGTATGCACATCTTTGATTCGTATGCACATCTTTGATTCGTGCTCTCCGTAAGATCCAGATGAGATTGATACAACTTTGCTGTCTGAGCTCTCCTGACGTGTAGCACCTCCACCCAACTCAGAAGCCTAGACAATTCCACTACGTTTGGAGATATTATGTCAGATTAGGTAGAATTCAATTCAGTTACTTCGGACTGATGTAGTATTGCCCTGATCCTTCAGTGGTATTTTTCAATGCCTATTTTTGTATGATGTTCCTAGTTTGCCTGGCTATTGGAATTCTGGATGTGAAAATATGTCAGATTACTGTAACAGCTTCTCCTATGTTTTCCAGTTCTCATATTTTGGTATAGAAGCCTTGAAAGGTTTTTCCAATACAGAACTTCTACTTCTATTAACTGACTTTGATAGTTTTTCCCTTCTTTTCCCAATCTTACATCTTTATTCTGTTCATTCAACTATACTGTAAATTTTCAGTTGTTGATCTAATAAAACATCATTTTCATTACCTATTTCCATAATAT